AAAGGCCATGTGGTTGGGCCTGGCCACACATAGGTGGCCAACGAGATTGTAACACACAGAGGAAGCTGCACAGTCATGCTAGGTCACACACGGGTGGCCAGTTGAATTACAATTACAATTCACCCCATAGTAGCTACTTGAACTAGCCTATCACCTTGGTCAGAATTGGCACCCAAAAGGCGGGGTCCACACTCCTTGGTAGCTAGGGAGACAGTATGAGCGCTTTACTGATTGGATGTCTCCACCTGACCTGACCCTCCCTTGTATTTGGGCTTTGTTACCTGGGACTGGTTTCCTGGATTTGCTTTTAAGTAAGTTCCCTTGGGGGGGCAGGGTCAATTTAAGTTTACTGCATAAACAACAAAATGGCAGTTCAACCATTCAGTAAAGCACTCATACTGTCTCCCTAGCTACCAAGGAGTGTGGGCCCCGCCTTTTGGGTTCCAATTCTGACCAAGGTGATAGGCTACTTCAAGTAGCTACTATGGGGTGAATTGTAATTGTAATTCAACTGGCCACCCGTGTGTGACCTAGCATGACTGTGCAGCTTCCTCTGTGTGTTACAATCTCATTGGCCACCTCTGTGTGGCCAGACCCAACCACATGGCCTTTGCTCTATAAAAGTTAGTCTGTAAGGCAGGGAGGGGGTCACCCTCTCTGTAAGAATCGTGGCCTGAATGGTGGGTTTGATTCTTGATGCTTGGCGCAAAATAAAGCTTTGCTTGACCTTTGCTTTGTATCAGTCTTGCTCCTTTAATCACGGACCCATTATTGGGGGACCTTTTATTTAAGATTTGTTTATTTATCTGAGGTGGGGAGGGGTAGAGAGAGAGAGAGAGAGAATCTCAAGCAGACTCCCAGTGAGTGTGGAGCCTGACACGGGGCTCAATCCCATGACCCTGAGATCATGACCTGAGCCAAAACTAAAAGTCTGATGCTTTACTGACTGAGCCACCCAGGCACCCCACAATTGACATTAACATTTCTAAGTCAGATTTTTCATCTGTAAAATGGTATAATAAAATTTTTAATTTCAGAGTTTTGTGTGATAAGGAATAAAAGAGATAAGCCCTTAGCATAGTGTTTGGCACATAGAAAGTGCTCAGTGTCAGCAAATATTATAGTCATAAGTGTAAATAAATATTATATAAATAATAAGTATGTAACTATCATGAAGACTAACTCTTCTCTTGGGTGACTGATAGAAATTACCTTACCTCCTACTCAAATGGATGTGGCTCAACTTTTTAGGCTCTCACAATAATGATTATATCTGAGAATGTGACTTCACATCCCAAAACTTCATGAAAGAAATACACTCATACATAGTAACTGGGATGTGGAGTAATTTCTTCACAAAGCCTAAGCTATACTGAATAGAAACTTGTTTTCTCATAAATATAAATATAATCACTAGTGTTATTGTTATCATTTTTATTGAGAGGGAGAGGAAGAGGGTGAGAGAGAGAAAGAGAGAAGTATTTACTTAAGGAATTGGCTTACATGATTATGGGAGCTGACAGGTCCCACTATCTGCTGTCAGCAAGCTGGAGACCCAGGAGAGCTGATGGTATAGTTCTAGTGAAAGGGCAAGAGACTAATATCCTGGCCCAGCAGTCAGGTAGGCAGCTGGTCTCTCTTACTTAGCTTTCTGTTCTATTCAAGTCTTCAAATGATTGGGTGAAACCTACCACATTATCAAAGGCAGTCTGCTTTGCTCAGTCTACTGATTCACACGTTAATCTCATTCAGAAATACCCTTGCAGACACACACATACTAATTTTCTGACCAAATATCTGGGAATCCTATGACCCAGTAAAGTTGACACATAATAATCATCACAGGGACTGAAAAAAATGTCTTTATTCCTTTCCAAATTTCTACTCAGGGATAAAGGCATAGAATGGAAGTGGGATGGGAAATTATCAATGAGATCTGGGTTGCCACAAGTCAAATAATTTTAAGACAGAGGACTTAAAAACTAAAGGGAAGCAAGCTTTTTTTTTTTTTTTTTAAACCCAAAGACTCTAAGGCCATAGTCATCTGCACCAGCTGCCATAACAAAATAGCACATACTGGGTAGCTTAAACAACAGAAATGAATTTCCTCACAGCTCTGGAGGCTGGAAATCCAAGACTAACAATCAGCAGGGTCAGTTTCTGGTAAGAGCTCTCTTTCTGACCCATGTACAGCCTCCTTTTCATGTCCCCATGTGGCCTTCCTCTGTGCACATGCACTGATGGTGTCACTTCATCTTCCTATAAGGACACTAGACCTATTGGATTAAGGCCCCACTCTTAGTGACTTCATTTAACCTTAATTACCTCCCTAATGGCCCTGTCTCCAAATAGTCACAGTTGGGATTAGGGCTTCAATATAGGAATCGGGGGGGGGGGGGTCCCACAATCCAGCATTTATGGGGTAGTCATGGCTCCCTCTAGCCCAGACCCCATAAAGGGAAGGATGACAAAGTTCAAAGGGCATAATCATAACCACTAGTATTGTCATTATCATTTTTATCTTGAGACATTAAGAACATGTTCACAATCTATTTGCTAGTTCACAAAGAGAACCCAAAAATCATTTTATTCAACAATGTTTATTGAGCATCTTTGATGCATTCAACTAGCTACTTTTTTTTTTTTTTGGTCTGATGCATTTATTGCTATATCCCCCAACTAGACAGTATCTGACACATTGTAGGTACTCAATAAGTATCAGTGAAATTGATTGAAAGTGTAAGTGCTCATGAGCTTTCAGAGATCCAGGTCTCCCAGACGGCTCTCTCCCACCCCAGCCTCTGCTGTGTCCGTGCCTGGCTCATGGACACTGACCCTGGGACAGCTCACCGTGGGCTTATTGATCTATTAACCGCTCAACTTTGCCCCCTGGATTCTGTCTTGGCCTCTGTCCCAGACTTTCCAGGAATCCAAACCCAGCTGTTCTCAGTCTTGACTTTGCTATTATCTCTGTAACTTTATGGGGCTCTCACTCCTCTGTGTGCCAGATACATGAATGGCCACTCATATTGGGTCTGTTGTCAATCCTATGGCCACACAGCAGGTCTTTTTTAGTGTAAGTTTTAATTAGTGAGCATACGGTGCAATATTGGTTTCTGGAATAGAATTCACTTACATACATACATTACATAGTGCTCATCATAGCAAGTTTCTTCTTTAATACACATTAGTTGTCTAGCCCATCCCCCACCTGCCTCCCTCCATCAACCCTCAGTTTATTCTCTGTTGTTTTCTCTATGGTTTGTTTCCTTCTCTCCCTTTTTTCTTCCCCCGCTTTCCATATGTTCATCTGTTTTGTTTCTTAAATTCCACATATGAGTGAGATCATATGGTATTTGTCTTTCTCTGACTGACTTATTTCAACATAATACACTCTTGCTCCGTCTATGTCATTGGAAATGGCAAGATTTCATTCTTTTAGATTATTGAGTAATATTCCATTGTATGTATATACCACATTTTCTTTATTCTTCAGTTGTTAGACATTTGGGCTCTCTCCATAGTTTGGCTATTGTTGATAATGTTGCTATAAACATGGAGGTGCATGTACCCCTTTGTATCTGTAATTTTGTATCCTTTGAGCAAATATCTAAGGTCAACTAGCTACTTTTGATGGGGAGAACAACACAATCCTTGTCTTTAAGGTGTTCCAATTTTGTAGGAATGTTGAAACACATGCACACCCACATATATCTGGAATTCTAAGTGGAAAGTGCTAAATGTAATGGAAGAAGTAATGGAATACGCTATGGGATTTGGAAGAGAAAGAAATACATAGTTGTTATCCTTTATTGAGCATTTACCATTACATGCTTGGGAGTTAGCTTAATCATGATTCTCTGTTTTCAGGATCTTACATTACAAGACAGACAAAAATTCAACTCATAATCCAATAAGTACTGTATGTATCAGTGGGTATACTGTATGTATCAGTACTTTGGCCAAAGCAGCTCTGTGTTGTAGTGTCTTGCAGAAAAGCCATGAATTTGCCTGGAGTGACTTGATGGTTGGTGGTTAGATGCCAGAGAAAAGTGGGATGTGAGACTGGGTTTCATATTTCAGCAGAGATTGATTGGTCTCTGCTAGGGAAAGTGGATGGAGGTTTAATAATGTTTTCAAAATCCGAAGTGTAAAGAGAAGGGCTCATACCAACGCCAGACCCAGTTGCTCTTAGCCATCTCCAACTAGTAGGGGAAATCCCTTGCCCTTCAACGTCCTGTGGCCCCCAAGAGGAGGCCCTATTATTGGGCAAAGAGGAAGCCAGATCCTTGACATCCCTTAGTACATTCTGGGCTTAAATGTAGGAAGAGGGAGTGATGATAAATGGATCAAGAAAGAGATTTGAAAATAATGGTGGAAGAGTGATGTATACCGATAGAGCAGTAGAAACAGAAACAGCTTAAGTATTGAGCACCTGCTGTGTACCTGGAGCTTTATGGTTTATACATGTTATCTCAGGTAATTCTCCAGTAACCACAGTCTTTGATGGAAGTAGAAAGAGGTTACTAGACCAGAGACTCATCAACTTGCTCAAGCACAGACAGGTAAGAAGCAGAGCTGATCCTGGAAGCTTACTCCTCCTAGCAGCGAGACCCGCACTCTCCTGGGCTTAGGATGACTGCCATCAACTAAACCCCAATCAGGTGGCTAGTGTTTGGCGGCAGGAAGAGAATGAAAGTTTGGGCAGTGACGAACATTTTGTCTAGCAGCACTTTTACATTTCTTTTCTAAACAGCTTTCCAGCTAATGGCCGGTCACACAGACTATGAGTGCGCCTTGGTAATAGGACTGGGCTAGGCTCCCCCACGGAGCCACGGAATCTCTGGGAAGCTAACCGCGCAATTCTCAGCAGGAGCAGCGGCGGAAGATGCCGAGGGTGGACCCAGAGGCGGGGCGGGGCCATCGCGGCTGCCCAGGGATTTGAGCCGGGAGTAGACGGGGAGGAGCAATTGTGACCTGCCCCGGTCCCTCCCCTCCCTGGGCACTGTGATGCAGCAGGGCAGCTGCTGGCCCAGCATGTCTGTCCCCGGCCCCCTCCCGCCCAGTGTGTCACAACAGCGGAGGCGGCTGTATCTAGAGCAGTTGGGGTGGGCAGGCCCAGCTGGGAGGCAAGCCGGCGAGGAGAGCAGCCGCCATGGTGAGCCTTTCCAGGTCCCGGGGCTGGGGGCCAGGGATCTGGGGCGCGGGGCTGGCACCAAGCCGAGAGCCATATCTACGCGGGGGCTAACAGATCCATCGCTTTGGATCTGCGGAGCTTGAAGTCTCTTGGGGTGTCAGTTCAGGGTCGAAGAGGTCCCTGCCCTTGGGCGGAGGACACCCGTGCCAGCACCCTTTATAATATACATAGAGACCTGAGGCGAATCGCCCCACAAAGGGACCTAGGGGAGATTTGCGCACGCAGATGAGGAGAGGGAGGATATGGGAAGGAGGCGCCGAAGAGGTGAGATTCTGAGGAATCCCCAGACATGCAGCTCAGGGACTAGAGTGTTTGGGGGATGATGTGGTCACTGCTTCTGTGTCTGCAGCCCTCTGCAAACTGCCCCCACGTAGGTAGGCATGGCTGAGCTCTGTAGGGTCCATACTTATTTTCTGACCTCAGACCACTTCTAGAGTCACCGCTGCCTCTGCCCTTCCCATTACTAGGCACAGATTCCCCCAGACGTTGTGGGGGTCCATGGCTCTGAGTAACAGAGGAGCCCTGATGCACAGAACTTCCCTCTGCAGCGGCTAGGGCAAAGGTGCTGGCTGAATGAGGAGGAGTTTTCATAGGAAGCTTCAGGCTCAAGTCAGGCCCATGCAGAGCTAGAGGGCTATTGCTGTTGCTGAGTGTCCTTTCAGGGGATGGGGGGCTCCTGAGTGACCTTGAGAGGAAGATGAAAAGTTAAAAATAACTTCTGGGAAATAGCTGGTGAATTCAGGACCGGTGATAGGGGGTGGGTGGACCCAATTGCTTCTTCCTTCGGGGAGAAAGAGGACCAACTGCTCCTTTTCCCTTTGGCTGCCAAGGGACCAGTAATGCTATCTGTGGCCTTTGTGGTTGACATTTCCACTGTCTGTGTCTTCCTGTTAGAATTTCTCCCAGATAATGAGAGAATGGGAAAATGAAATGGGTGCTATGTACCAGATTAAAACTGCTTAGCTGTCTCTCACACTTGTCCCCAATGTCAGCTAACGCCTAAGGGCCTTCGGACACCAATAGGTCTCTTAGGCTGGGAGTCTATTTACTTCACATTCCTGCCATTCCTAAAGGTGGTCTTAATGTCATCGCTATTGCTGCCCTAAATGCAGTGCCTATAATCCAAGACCCCTCTCTTGAACCTCTTTCACTCACTGATGTTAATTTAGGTCAAGTTTTTTTCTTGCTTTTTCTGGCTTGCTATCTATTCTTTGTTCTGAGTGATTCTAAATATGCTGTAATTGAAGGGCTTTGAGCAGCGATAATTCAAGCAATCTTTAATGAGTCACAATTCTTCTTACTTTAGTTATTCCTCCATAACACTGTGGATCTACTTTTTATTAGTAGACAACATCTTTGACCTAGATCCTAAAATATAGGTGATTTATTAGCCCAGCCTGACCACTAGACATATTTGGTGTAATGATATGCTTTTGTAAGCAGCTGTGTGGCATTTGACCACATTGGTGCTCAAGAGATGTGGACTGGTTTCAGGTTTTCATGTGTCATATACCGCTGGTCTGTTCCTGTCCTAGATAATATGCCAGTTTTATTGTTTTATGATACTTCAAAATGATTTTTGAAGCTACAAATCTCCTTCCACAGAGGGTCTTAATTAGCTGATCTTAGTCATCTGAGAACAAAATAAAAGGGAATGACTAATATTAAAATAGAAATAATATAAGATTGATGTATGAAAAGGTTTCTTATACTGGAATTATAATAGGGCTGTAAAGTTTTAGAAATTCTTTTTTGATATTCTGCAAAACATAGGTTCCCCTCCCCATGGAAGATGAAGGTAGATGGCACAGATGTCTCATCTGTTCTGCTTTTCATGAGCCTACACATCAGGCAAGCTGCATGATTTGTGGGACTTGCCCTAAGTTTTCCTGCCTCTTGTTAACATTGCTCCTAAGCTCAACTAAAATGATCATTTTAGCATGTTTTTAAAATTCGTCAAGGTCGCTGCAAATATTCCCGTTCCAGGAAACCAAGCCAGAGTTGTTTTTTTCTCCTTTGAACTCTCATTGTCTCTTCAGCACTGCCTACTCTTTTGTTAAATAGATTATAAGACCCCTCAGTGCAGTTTTCATTCTAATCATCCCTATATTTGTTAAGCACCCACTACATTCAAGCACTGTGCTTGTTCCCGGGGATGTACTGAGTAAGCAGGGGTTCCTTGCCCTCACAAATCTTTTTCTCTCTGCTAGGAAGTCAGAAAATTGAACAAGCAGCTATAATAGGGTGTGATAAATACAATAATAGAGAAGAAGTGGATCTTGGGAACACATAGTAGGGACCCTGTGCTGGTTTGTGGTTTCCCAGACTTCCTGTATGAAGTGAATTTAATGAGTAGGAGGAGTAGGAGTTAGCCTAGTACCTTTCCATACCTTCTTACACATAATAACACAATAAACATTTGTTGTAGGAATAAAGAGTGGGTAACTTTTGTAGTTATACCAGCACTAGGTCTGTGTAAGGATATGTCATACTTTTCTTGAGGAAAGAAAACTCCTGTATTAGATCTGTCCGTCTCCTTCATCTTCACCCTCTGGATTGCTGGGCAGAGAGGTCCAGCAGCACACAGGGGACCCCTTTCACCTCACAGCATCCCTGGAGCACAGAAGTGGTCTGAGCTCTACAAGCCCAGATTCGAAATGGAACTGAGAGAGAAATACTGTGAAAGAAAACATGAGCTCTGATTGGCTAGATAGGGAGATCTGAAATCTGAGTTTGGAGCAAATTTAGGACTTAAATATCCTCTGCTGGGTCAGCTTCTTCTATACTTTGGCCCCCTCCCTGTCCTTGTACACATCAGCCCTGAAAAAAGATTCTTGGTTCTATCAGAGAAGGATGACCCATTTTCAAAGAGGCTGCCACCACAAGCCGTACTGTTTCTTTCTGCACTGAGCTTTTTTCTGTTTGGAGTTTTGCTATACAAGCTTGGCCTTGCTATATACCCTATCAGGCTTGCGTGGATGTAGATGTGGGCACACCCCAGGGCCCTGGAAGTTCAGAGTGCAAGTGAGGCTGGAGGTTGTGTGGTATAAAGGAAAGAACTCAGGCTGAGGTCAGAAGACCTGGGTTCCAATCTGGGCTCCTGCTGCAGAGCTATGAAATCTCAAATTTATCCCTTTAACTTTCTCAGCCTCAGATTTTTCATCTGTAAAATGGGGAGGGAATTATATTTGGTGACCCACAAGGCCAGTATAGTTCTAGTGTCCTAAACATTTACAGTTGACATAGCATCCCTGGTTGTGTCAGATAGATGACCTCTCTTCAGCATGAGGGGTGACCTCACAAGGCCAACAGCACTGGGTCTGCTCTGTGTTTATCTATGTAGAACTTCCAGGGAGGGAGATGGGGATGGTGATCAGGCAGTGGCTGGAGAAGACTAGCTCCGTGCACTGACAAATTCTTTTTTTTTTTTTTAAAGATTTTATTTATTTATTTGACAGACAGGGATCACAAGCAGGCAGAGAGGCAGGCAGAGAGAGAGGAGGAAGCAGGCTCCCCGCTGAGCAGAGAGCCCGATGTGGGGCTCGATCCAAGGACTCCGGGGTCAACACCTGAGCTGAAGGCAGAGGCTTTAACCCACTGAGCCACCCAGGCACCCCTGACAAATTAGTTCTTAATATTGTTAGTTGAATAATGACTAAGTGAAATGGGACAGGAAGAGCCTCGGCCCTGCAGGATAAGATAATTATGGTGAATGGAATCTTTACTCCCATTCTTCCTGTAGTTCCTTTCTTTAATTTTTTTCTTTTGAGTGTGAAAAAATTTTAATGCCATCCATACATATATGATCTAGATTTAATAATAATAATTATCATTTTCTGCCATTTTTATTTTATCTGCTGTGTTTGTTGAAGTATTTTAAAGTAAAATACAGACATCATGGCATTTTGCCCCAAATGCTTTGGAAGTGACCCTCAAAAACTAATGATGTACTCTATGTTGGCTAACTGAACAGAATAAAAAAAAAAGTACTCTAAAAAATAAGGACATTGTTATACCTAAATATACTTTCATTATCATGCTTAACAAAATTAATCAATTTCTCTATTTGTCTCCCAAATAATTTTGATTTGTTCAAATCAGAATTCAGGCAAAGTGCACATACTACGTGTGGACTTGTGTTTCTTGAGTTTCTTTTGATATGGAACAATCTCTCCTATCATCTTTATTTTTCATGAACTAAAAAGATTGTATCAATTGCCCTGTAGAATGTTTTACCTTCTGGATTTATTTTATTGTTTTCTCATGATGTCACTTATCACTCAGAACCTGGTGTTTTCTACCATTTGAAAACTAAATTTAAAGTGTTTAATAGTGCAGCGGCTCTTTCTGCCCATGGGTCCTTTTCCTGTGCTTTAATAAACCACAAAATTGCACCCAAAAAAAAATGTTTAGTAGATTAAGGCTGAGTTTTGTTTGTTTGTTTTAGAGAGTGAATGCAAGAGCAAGACTGAGTAGGGTGGGGAGGGGCAGAAGGAGAGAGAGAGAGAGAGAGAGAATCTTAGGCAGGCTACAAGCCCAGTGCAGAGCACAACGTGGGGCTCGATCTCACAACCCTGAGATCATGACTTCAGCCAAAATCAAGAGTTCCTTAACCAACTGAGCCACTCAGCCATCCCGAGGCTATGCATAAGAATTCCTCAGGGGTGATGTTGTCATGTTGTATCACATCAGGATATTCTTAATGTCTGGTGCTGTTAAGATTGATCCCCGTATTGTTTGGCTAACAACTGTTGTGGTTACTTTTTCCCCTTGTAACCTGTAAATTACAGTGATGTTTTAATGCTATGTGAATATCCATTCTTTTCCCATCAACCTTTCACTTAATGGTGTTGGCATCCTTGTCCAAATCAATTACGTGATTAGGGATTGTAATATGGCAACATTTCTTAATATATCATTCCTTGTCCATTTATTAGCTGATATTCTTCAGTTAAAAAAAAGAGCTTTCCCTCATAAACTGTGCTATTTGGGGACAAATGAGTTATTTGTTTTCTTTTCTTGATAACACTAAGGAGTTGTGGATTTTTATATACATCCTATTCCAATCAAGTACCATTATTCTTCTTTTTGGTGCTCATACTGTCTCATCTTTGGCAGTGGAAGTTTCTTCAAGCTGGTTTCTGAGATCTTTTGACGTCATCCCAATCTGTGTTAGCTTCTGTGCTTTCAGGCACCATAAAATGTTCCAGGTTCATCTTGTATGTTCCTTGCCCCAGACCTAGAACTCTTCATTTCTCCCAGGAGCCCTGGTTCCTGTTAGTGGGGAATGGTATTGAGGGATCTTCCTTTTCTCTTGATTGGTGTAGCCACTTTTGGGTTTTGGAAGCATCTGAACATATCAGTTATTTCTGAGATTCTTTTATACTTCCAGTTACTCTAAATTAGTTTAACAAGGAAAATAGCTCTTCCTAAGGGGTGTGTATGTGTGTGTGTGTGTGTGTGAGAGAGAGAGAGGGAGAGCGAGAGAGCAAGAGCATGTTTGTGAAGACTGGCATATTTATCAGTGTTTGTGAGATTAAAGGGGATAACAAAAAGGCTTATATCATTGATATCACCATATTGGTAGTTTTCTGGTCCCAAAGAGGCTTTACTCTTCCTCCCATGACCTCTGATCTTTCTGAAATATCCCTGCATTCTTGCTGAAAAAGAGTGTTCCAGAAGGAAGGGCTGACTGGAGAGCAAATAGCACCACAGACAGACCTGGAGGATAGTTGGGGTTTGGTGGTGGTTGGTGGGGGAGGCCAAAGCTCAGAAGACTGAGGGTCAGGGCCACAGAGGATTCTGTCACCTGGAACGTGATCCATAGGATCAGGTATTTTTTTAGGTCTCTCCAAATTCCTATCAGCTTTAGACACCTCTTTAGGAAGTCATGGCTGCCTGGATATGAAAGATGTGGACTGATTAACAACACACTGGTTGTGGGATGGTTTCTGGGTGTAGGACACTTTTTTAAAGTCTGAATTAAGACCCAAGGTAAAGGCAGAAAATAGACCTTAGAGTAAAGGTGAGTAGAATGGGGACCTGGAGTCTCTAACTTTCCACCTGTGTTTCTTCTGGGTGGAGAATAAAGCTACAAGGTATTATCATAATGAAAATAATAATGGTAAAGGCAAAAACAACATAATCATGGCTAACTTATTATTTTCATTAAAATTTTTTTTAAAAGATTTTATTTATTTGACACAGAGAGGGTGAGGGAGACAGAGAGACAGAGAGCAAGCACAGAAGGGGGAATGGAAGGTAGGGGAGAAGCAGGCTCTCCCCTGAGCAAGGGGCTCAATCCCAGGACCCTGGGACTTGATCCCAGGGTCCTGGGATCATGACCTGAGCCAAAGGCAGCCATTTAACTGACTGAGCCACCCAGGTGCCCCTAATTTACTATTTTCAGATGAGGCAAAATTAGTTAACTCAGCCAAGGTCACACAGCATAGCAAGTAAATTGAGAAGGCGAGATTTAAACGCTGGGGTGTGGACAACTTTGTGAGTGGAACCTTTCTCTGGCCACCAGACTCATGGAAATGTAGCTGGGCTGTATTCCCAGATAGGGCTATGTTACATACTGGCTGCTGTGAACACCCGTGCTCTATGCTCCCTAAGGCAAGGGCAGGTGTAAGATAGGTACTCAGTTCTAAAATTGAATTAGGGAGTAATGGGTCCTGGCACCTCTGGCTCTTTGAGGTGTTATTCGGGGTAACTGCCCTGTTCCCTTGCCCAGAGAACCTACAGGTTCCCTCCGGCTCCATGTGTTTCAATGCCCAGCCAAATTTTCTGGAGGCTTTGCTCCTGGCTTGGGTTACCTAGCTGGAAAATGCCAGGTCGGGTCATGGATAAGAATAGAAACCCACGGATGAAACACATGCTTCCCATCTGGACTCTAGCAGGCCTCACAGGCACAGAGCCACTTTGTGTTGGCCACTGCTTCCTCATTGGTGGGATATATGGAGGTGATGTGATCATGATTTCTGGTGAAACCCCAGCTTCTATTAATACACAGACATTCATATTCTCTCTTTCTTTCTGCCACCAACACACCCACACACCCACCTATTCTCATCCTCAACTATTAGTATTATGATCAATCAGGTAATTGTGGCTTCGTACCAGAGTAACAGAGAGGTAAGGACCCTCTAAAGGTCAGCTTTAATATGTGCCCTGACATAGACAAGGGAGCAAATTATGGTAGTTACAAAGAAATTTTCCAGCTTCAGTGAGGAACCTAATTTAGGTTCCCAACAAATTATGCACTCTCAACTCTCCTTTGCTGATGTAACAGTCTTTTCTTCTTCCTACATTTGTAGCCAGAACACTAAAGACACTCATGATACCTAGTTACAAAGTATTTTCCTTCCATGAGAGTTTATCTGCTTTATGATATTCTGAGACTCTGAGTGTGTGTGTGTGTGTGTGTGTGCATGAGAAAGAGAGGGAGAGGGAGGGAAATGAATGGAGGGAGAGAGAGAGGGAGAGGGAGAGGGAGAGAGAGAGAAAGAGAGAGGCTGTTGTCTAGGAAGGTCAGGTCTTAGGCATGAATATGAATGCTGCCACTGTGTATGCTAGGGAATTTATGGACAATTTCTGCTGTTATCACTGGTTCATCCTTTGACCTTCATCAGCACAGGAATTTCATGGTTTGGAATTAGCCCCTTGTTTTATGAGTATAGCTGCCCTCTTTTTCCTTTTATTGGAACAAAAGATTAACCTGGGAAACAAACTTTGGAGCAAGCCATAAAACTGATTCTTCCTCAGAGCCAAGTCTCAGTCCAGACTGAGGGGGTTAGGGTTAGACACCTGACACCTCAGATCCCACCTGGTTTTATATGGCGTGGTTGGAGGGATGGATATCCTGCGAGTTGAATGCTAGGGAGAGACAAGTCCTCAGATGTGCAGGATATAGCACAAGGGCATAACCAAGGCCTAGGACTCTCTGACCTTGATTCTGTACTCTCCTCACAGCGGGAGTGCATATCAGTCCACGTGGGTCAAGCAGGAGTTCAGATTGGCAATGCCTGCTGGGAGCTCTTCTGTCTGGAACATGGCATCCAGGCAGATGGCACCTTTGGTGTCCAGGCCAGCAAGGTCAACGACGATGACTCATTCACCACCTTTTTCAGTGAAACTGGAAATGGGAAACATGTGCCTCGGGCTGTCATGGTAGATCTGGAGCCTACTGTAGTAGGTGAGTATGGGCTAGGATCCTTTCTACAGAAAACAACATGAAGCTGCAGAACCTTTGGTCCATGATAGCTAAGGAAGCAGAATCTCTAACTGGAAGGTGGAGGTGGCTCAGCTAGAACCTCCCCACCCCACCCCACCCCACACTTACTTCTGTCAATTTCTTGAAATCTCCACAGTCTGGTGGAGTCTCACAATAGAGACGACAGATCTCTGCTTCCCCATTATAGCTGTAACCTATGCAGAACAAAATACCCTGTACTTAAACCCCTTAAACCTGTTGAGAAAGATCCAAATTGAGAGAGTCTTAACTATGTGCTAAGAGTAGAAAAATAAAATAGTAGAAAAATAAAAATAATTTTAGGAAATATGAGAGGTCTCCAAATAGTCAATTTTCCAAAGTATAGGTTTCTGATTCTATAATAATTGCAGTCTTTTCTCATGGGTCTCTATAACCTTGAGTATCTTACACAAAATGAAATAATAGCAGACACATTCTCTTAAAGCCAGAGGTTGCTGCAGTTCTAGAAGGAACCTCCTCTGGATCCTAGAAAACAGACTTGTGTTAGAACAGGGTTCTTGGTGCTTCAGCTTTCCCTTGAGTTCTCTCCACCACTCCGGCATCATTTCCCTTGGGTATGATTCCTGGGTCAATCCTCAGCTTAACATCAGGATTTCCTCAGCTTCAGCGCTGGTTCACCAAGCAAAGGATGGGTAAGTCTCACAGAGATATCTGGGCTAATGTCTGTAATGCCTAAACACTAATTTCTAGGGGCAACAGATTACAGGTACACAACCCTGGGATACTTTGTACAAATATAAAATGTGCAGATTACCCTCCCAGGCACTATGCAAATGAGTGATTTCCCTGGGTGGGGGCATAGAGGAACTCTGAAGAAAAGAGGACATGTAGTTGGGGCTTGATACATCTTGGTCTGCCATATATCTACTTTGTGTGGACCCTTCTAGGACCTGGAGCATAGCTCTGCTTCAAAGTCATTCTAAAATATCTCTAGTGCCTGACATATATTAGCTTAGGGGTGGGACAATTCCTCGGAGAGCAGATCCCCTGGAACCTTTCTCTGTATCCCTAGAACATTTTGGTGCAAATGAAATTGGGTTAAAGTTTTGGGTAACCTTGCAGCATGAAAGAAAAAACAAAAAGGAAGACTTAAGGGGCCAAGGTAGAAAGAAGAAGGGGCAATCAGCTTTGGTGTTTGGTGAACTTTGTGAACCTAATGCTTTTAGAAGTTCCTGCCAGCAGAGCAGAAAAGCTTCTCTTTGCCTGAGTCACAGGCTTCTGTTTCTATTAGTGCCTATGTTACCCTGGAATTCTCTCAACCTTTTGCAGATTTATTATAGGGTTGTCTGGTTTTACCTCAGTGGAGTTTTACAGGTAGAGGAAATGGAGACCCAGAAAAGTATTATATGATATTTAATGGGGGATGCATCTCCTCTATAAACAATGTGGTAAGACCTGATGGTTTCTGTCTCTTGGTAGATGAAGTTCGGGCAGGAACCTACCGTCAGCTCTTCCATCCAGAGCAGCTGATCACAGGGAAGGAGGATGCAGCTAACAACTATGCCCGGGGCCACTACACAGTGGGCAAGGAGAGCATCGACCTGGTGCTGGACCGCATACGGAAGCTGGTAAGTATGAACAAGGGTAGGGAATTGATGAGTCGGGCTAAAAGAGACAGAATAAGTGGAAGCATATGGCCCCTGTCTACAGAATAGAGCTCCTAAGATTTGGGAATTTTTGCTTATGTTCTGTAAGAAGCATTCACAGGGATGATGCCCCTTCTTCCACCTGGACATCATGAACAACCCTACAAGCCAATGCCTTACTAAATCTTATCAGTACTATATGGTAGTATCTGGAGGAAATTCCAGGTATAAAGAAGGCTAGCTCTTTGCTTGTTGGAAGCATAGGTTAACACAGAATTTAACTTGGAAGAGGAGAGGAAGAGATTGTTGATACTTTTGAGCACTTACAAATGCCATTACAAATACCAATTAGATACATTCCTTCACTTAATTCCTTTAATAATGATACACAGAAAGTCATTTACCTGTACTTTACAATGAAGAAATTGAGGGCCGGGGGCACCTGGGTGGCTCAGTGGGTTAAAGCCTCTGCCTTCGGCTCGGGTCATGATCTCAGGGTCCTGGGATCGAGCCCCGCATCGGCTTTCTGCTCAGCGGGGAGCCTACTTCCTCCTCTCTCTCTCTGCCTGCCTCTCTGCCTACTTGTGATCTGTCTGTCAAATAAATAAATAAAATCTTTAAAAAAAAAAAAAAAAAAGAAATTGAGGGCCAGTGTGGCTCAATAATTTAGCTGGATCACACAACTAGAAAGTGGCAGAGTTGGGATTTAAATCAGGTTGTTTTGGCTAGAAAGCACTGAGTTGTATGGTGGGCCACTTTATTGCCTTGAGCTTTCATTTCCTTATCTTTACAATGGAAATGGTTGGACTTAATCAGGGGTTCTTGGGAGCTAAAGGTGCCAAATTTTTGTATATGTTCACTTTTTCTGTTTAGTGGAGGGCTCACAGGGGTTATCTGTCTCAAAGCTCTCTGTGGGCCCCAAAAGTTTAGAATAAGTATCATAGATCATACCCAATGAGAAATTTGTGACTGTCCGAATTCTCTTAGTTCTCATAAAAGCTAACATTGAGTACTTACTACATATCAAGTCTTTGCTCAGCATATCATGCTATCTCATTTGATAATCACAATAACCTTGTGAGATGAGGTTTTTTTTTTTTTTTTAAATTGCCCTACTTTAGTCAGGAAGAAACAGTGATCTGGAGAGGTTCAATAACTTGCTTAAGTTTTTACAACTGGGAAATGACAAAATTCATACTAAAACTCAGGTTCTCTGACTCCATTTATATCTCTGAAATTTGTACACTGAGCCACCTTTCAAGGTGGGGCTGGGATGTATAGTCAGCAGCTCCCACAAAACCAATGACAAGGGCAGGGAAAATGGGCAAGGAGTTGGGGTTCTCAAAGGGCAAAGCTATTAACCACTGTGGTTCTGAAATTCTTATTCCTGGTTCAACCAAGCCACTGGGCTGGAGCCTTCCATATACCTAGTGGTATGTACCTGTGCAGTTTGCCACCCTATATATTTTAGCTAGTCCTCTCAAGATCAACCCAACTCCTTTTATCTTAATTCTTCAAGACTGTTTTGGTTTTACTGACATAAAAATGTTAAGGAATAGAGTGGGGGCAGATAGGATTGCCTGCCTTTGTTCACATGAGGGTGTTCTCATAAACTTGTCTTCATGGTTTCTTCTCATGTTCGACTCTCCCCAGACAGATGCCTGCTCCGGCTTGCAGGGCTTTCTGATCTTCCACAGTTTTGGAGGGGGCACTGGCTCTGGCTTCACTTCTCTGCTGATGGAACGGCTCTCCCTAGATTATGGCAAGAAGTCCAAGCTAGAGTTTGCTATCTACCCAGCCCCTCAGGTCTCTACTGCAGTGGTGGAGCCCTACAACTCCATTCTGACCACCCACACCACACTGGAACATTCAGATTGTGCTTTTATGGTGGACAATGAAGCCATCTACGACATCTGCCGCAGGAACTTAGACATCGAGCGCCCCACCTATACCAACCTCAACCGCCTCATCAGCCAGATTGTGTCCTCCATCACTGCCTCTCTCCGCTTTGATGGGGCCCTTAATGTGGACCTCACTGAGTTCCAGACCAACCTGGTGCCCTACCCCCGCATCCACTTCCCACTGGTCACTTATGCACCCATTATATCTGCTGAGAAAGCCTATCATGAACAACTCTCTGTGGCTGAGATAACCAGCTCCTGCTTTGAGCCCAACAGCCAGATGGTGAAGTGTGACCCAAGACATGGGAAGTACATGGCCTGTTGCATGCTCTACCGGGGGGACGTGGTACCTAAGGATGTGAATGTCGCTATTGCCGCCATCAAGACCAAGAGGACTATTCAGTTTGTAGACTGGTGTCCCACAGGCTTTAAGGTGAGAGCTGATGACTGAGGGAGAAGATAGACAATTAGAGAAGCAGGAGGAGATTACCAGGGAGAAGGGAGGAAGATGTGTAAATTCCAGGGTCTTAGATATACAATTCCATGAGAGCTTCAAGCTTTATGGGATGATATGGGGAGAGGGCTTAAGACAAATATAACCATAATTTCATTAGTTCATTCATTTTAGGTAAGAAGAAATTTGAGAAGATTATTGAAAGAAGGGGGAGGAGGACAATTGTGATACTTGGAGGGGCAATACTGCAGTAGGGAGAAGCCTCCTGTTGCTCATACCCTAACATCTGCAAGCATCTCAAAGGTCAGGAAGAAAAGGGCTTTTCTCTAATAAGGAGGAGTGAACAGGCTAGAAAGAATCCATGCAGGCAAGTGGCATGAACAGGATGAATAAGTGGAGGTACCTGTAATCTGACAATAGATCAGAGAATGGAGTTAACCAAGTTATTCAAGTTACCAGAGAGATAAAATTCCCTCCTTCAACAAAATATGTGTTCCTCTCCCAATTTATTTTTGAAAAATTAAGTATTCATCCTGTAAGTCTTCATTAACTTAGAGTGAGGATAAGAAATTTTATGGTGACTCTAGGATAGTGAACCACTTACTGTGTGAAGCCCTGACATTTTCCATTAACCAGGAATAAGCAGAAGCTGGGAAACCTATTGTAGATCAGGTGTCTGCAATCTGTAAAATGCCAAACTCTGAGGGTTAGTGGGTAGATACAACATCCTGGGAAAACCCATGGATCTCAGAACTAGTGAACGTTGAGTGTCAGAAGTCACTCCTTTGAGTTGCACTGGTAAGGCATGCCGCTGGCTCTGTGCTTATGAACTGCTTGATCACTTTGCCCTGTGCTCCCATTATCTTTAGTCAGATTCCACTATCAAAGTAGCTACCATCATTTACATTAGTTAGTAACCTCCAGCCATGCCTTTAGTAGTTCAGAGGTTCACTCAGCACCAGGGGTGGTTATACCAGTTGCTAGATATACAGAGATGCGCATGCCTGTTCTTCCCTGATGGGACTTACAAAAACAAGGCATCATGTACCAGTCTCTTGACTGACCTATTTGTATATTAGGCTTTGACCGAGCTCATCTCCTTTTGTAGCATTTTTCCTTCACCGCACTCACCATAGCACATACATTGTAGTACATACATTGTAGTACACATACATTGTAGTACTCCTAGCTATACACACAATCTTTTCCCCCTAGACTGCACCAGTTTTTAATCAGTTTTGGTCATTCTTGTGAAAACTGAGGAGATCTTCCAAAATATGGAGTTCTTTTTTAAATTTTTAAAATGGAAACAAACAACAAAACAAGCTAGTCGGAAAATAAATAGGAAAAAAGAAAAAATGAGATGTGAGGGTGGTGGGGAATTTACAAAAAGGAGATGCCCCTCATTTTCTCCTTTTATTTTAAGCTGAAGTTTGGGGATTATATCCAGAAAGATAGGTAGGGCTAGCATCTTAAGATGATTTTCAGAAAAGCTCATGTTTGTTAAACTTCATCCTCTCATATCCTCCCCAAGGGTGTTTGTCCCTATTTGACTCAGTTGAAGGGATAATTACTCTTCGAGAGAAGACAGTTAGCTCCAGGTACAAAGTTTTTTGCTGGTCAGGGTCAGATCTAGCAAAATATGTGATATAGCAAAGTTTTATTCATTGTCCTTTTCCTTCTCATTTTTGGTCCTTTGTCCCTGTCTCAGCATCACCTCTACCAACAAGATGCTACTTTTGTCTAAAAGGAGTGATAGATGATGTGAATTCATTTAATGGGCTACCCACCTTGGCTATATAGCCTGCTGCAACTCCCACTTACATCTCAAGAGGACATACATTTTATTTTATTTATTTTTTAAAAAAAGATTTTACTTATTTTAATTTAATTTAATTTATATTTTTGTTAAATACCTTGATGTATTCTGTTTACTAGTTATATTCTTTATTTTTTTATTTATTTTCAGCATAACAGTATTCATTGTTTTTGCACCACACCCAGTGTTCCGTGCAATCTGTGCCCTCTCTAATACCCACCACCTGGTTCCCCCAACCTCCCACCCCCGCCCCTTCAAACCCCTCAGATTGTTTTTCAGAGTCCATAATCTCTCATGGTTCACCTCCCGTTCCAATTTCCCCCAACTCCCTTCTCCTCTCTAATTCCCCTTGTCCTCCATGCTATTTGTTATGCTCCACAAATAAGTGAAACCATATGATAATTGTTAAAATGTCTATACTGCCTAGAGCAATCTATACTTTTAATGCCATTCCGATCAAAATTCCACTGGTATTTTTCAAAGAACTGGAGCAAATAATCTAAAAATTTGTATGGAATCAGAAGAGACCCCGAATCGCTAAGAAAATGTTGAAAAACAAAAATAAAACTGGGGGCATCACGTTATCTGATTTCAAGCTTTACTACAAAGCTGTGATCACCAAGACAGCATGGTACTGGCATAAAAACAGACACATAGACCAGTGGAACAGAGTAGAGAGCCCAGATATGGACCCTCAACTCTATGGTCAAATAATCTTCAACAAAACAGGAAAAAATATACAGTGGGAAAAAGACAGTCTCTTCAATAAATGGTGCTGGGAAAACTGGACAGCTATATGTAGAAGAATGAAACTCGACCATTCTCTTACACCGTACACAAAGATTTTACTTATTTTTTGAAAGAAAGAGAGATCACAAGTAGGCAGAGAGGCAGGCAGAGAGAGAGGGGGAAGCAGGCTTCCTGTGAAGCAGAGAGCCTGATGTGGGGCTCGATCCCAGGACCCTGAGACCATGACCTGAGCCGAAGGCAGAGGATTATACCCACTGAGCCACCCAGGCACCCTGAGGACATGTGTTTTAAAGCTATGAAATTAAGAGGCTGACAGTTAAGGCATGATGACCCAGGTAGGAGAGCTATTTTTTGGATAGTATTTTGGTTCTCAGTGTCCCTTAAATATTATCATGGTTTGGTACTTTCAACTTCTTCCAGTTTCCTACAGTTTTGTTTCTGGGATTAGTTTTGATTTGGGATATGTGTATAGGGAGGAGGGAGATTTCTCAGATAGTGCCCCTAACATCAGATTGGGCTAGGCTTAGCTTATAGGACCCTGCCATGCTATCAGATCTTGGGAATTTGGCTTGTCCAGGCAAAAGTTTTAATTAACTTTCTTTGATGGAAGTCCTTGCTTTTCTTCTAACCAGCCTCACTCCCCTCAGATGTGGGGCTGGATTAACATTAACACCTCCTCCAGGAACTTTTGGATTTTAAAATTTATTGCTCTGGATTATCTCCATGATTTTTTTAAAATTTAAATTCAATTAGCCCAGGTATAGTACATCATTAATTTTTTTTTAAATTTTATTTTTTATAAACATATATTTTTTTCCCCAGGGGTACAGGTCTGTGAATCGCCAGGTTTACACGCTTTACCGCACTCACCATAGCACATACCCTCCCCAATGTCCATAATAACCCCACCCCCCCTCTCCCAACCCCCCTCCCCCCAGCAACCCTCAGTTTGTTTTGTGAGATTAAGAGTCACTTATGGTTTATCACATCATTAATTTTTGATATAATATTCAATGATTCATTAGTTGAACATAACACCCAGTAATCATCATATCACGTGCCCTCTTTAATTCCCATCACCCAGTTACCCCATCGCCCCACCCACCTCCCTGATCTTTTAAACAGACCTTTGCCTTTGGCAGAGAATTTTCCCTAAATTTGTTGACAGTATAACTAAGAGAAACTTTATATGACCATGTGGAAAAAGTAAACTTCAAGTCTAAAAATTAATTTGCTTCTAAAGAGGATCTATTTCCCTTTTAAAGATAAACATGTATTGTACACCCCCCCTTAATAATAATCTCATTACTCTTCATTTGTCTACTTGGATCTCCCCCACTAACATTTCTACCTATTACCAGCCCTGTACTCCTCCTCTTCTTTTCTTTTTTTAAAAAATATTTTATTTATTTATTTGCTGGGGGGAGGTGCAGAGAGAGAGTGTGGGTGCACAAGCAGGGGAGTGGAAGGCAGAGGGAGAAGCAGACTCCCTGTTGAGCAAGGATCCTGATGTGGGACTTGATCCCAGGACCCCAAGCCGAAAGAAGATGCTTAACTCTCTGAGGGACCCAGTCATCCCTGTTCTCCTCTTTTTCTTTTGCAGTTTTTATTTTGTCTCCAAGTTTTAATTTAAATTCCATCTAGTCTTTTACAGTTTTTAGATTTTATAGCCCTTCTCTTGAACTTGCTTTCGCCCAGTTCTACTCACTTTTAACTTCTCTTCAACACTCACCTCTTTCTACCTGTCCATTTCTCCAAACCTTTGGTTCCTCCTTTTCACATCCAGGCCTGCTCCCATTCCCAATGCATGGCTGTGTCTTGCTACCACACCGTGTTACCAAGATAACCCCATCTTGAGTTATCTTTTGGCTGTTCTGCATTTTATTTGATTGCTCCTCTTCTTTCTCTGTTCCTCAGGTGGGCATCAACTATCAGCCACCCACTGTGGTGCCAGGAGGGGACCTGGCCAAAGTCCAGCGGGCTGTTTGCATGCTGAGCAACACAACTGCAATTGCGGAGGCCTGGGCCCGTCTGGACCACAAGTTTGACCTCATGTACGCCAAGCGGGCCTTTGTGCACTGGTATGTTGGAGAGGGAATGGAAGAAGGAGAATTTTCTGAGGCCAGGGAGGACCTGGCTGCTCTGGAGAAGGATTATGAAGAAGTGGGGACTGATTCATTTGAAGAAGAAAATGAAGGGGAGGAGTTTTAAATATAACACTTTCCCCTTGGCTGTGTCTCTTTATTTATGCTTCTTCACTCAAAGCACATTTAACTATTCCAAGATTAATAGACTACACTCCTAAGCCCAGCCTAATTTCTGTTTTCCATTGGAAGAGGCATCTGACACCAGTGCCTGGGCGAAAATCGAGGCTGAGCTGTTCAGACCCTCCCTTGGGTAAAAGTAGCTTTGTGTCACTAAAAAAAAATGAGAGTCACTGTCTCTAGGTTAGGGTGAAGCAGGTTACATGTTGTGAAGAGGCCTAATCAGGATTTTAAACGCTGAATTAGTCTGGGCCCACCTCAAAATGCAGCCTACTGGCTGTGGAAGGATCTGAGCATTGGAAGATTCCAGGAAGAGAGTGGCACTTTTAGAGAGTGAGAAGACAGACACATTTCCTGCCCTTGTAAAAACACAAATAAATGAATGAGATAATTCAGGTAGTGTTAACTGATAGAAAGTTAAAAAAAAAAACGTGATGAGGGAAAATTGTCTGGGAATGCTCCTTTAACCTGGGTGGTCAGAAAAGGCCCCATGGAGACCTGAGCAACAGAAGAGAGCATCATTTGAAATTCTGGAGTTAGAGAATGCTGGACATAGAATAAAACATAGATGTGGGAACAAGCTTATTGTGAGATGGAGATGAGATCTGAGAACCAAGCTGGGGCCAGAGCATACTTAGTCTATAGACCATGGTAAGGAGTTCAGATTTTTCTCTAAGTGAAACAAAAATTTGGAAGGTTTAAAGCAGGATATAATATACTTTATATATGTACATACCTTATCTCTAATCCTCCCAATAATCTCAAATGGATATTCTGCTCATTTTATAGATGAAGAAACTGGGGTTTACAGAGTTGATATATTGCACAAAGTAAGAAGAGCTCAGAGATCAGGGACTACTAATTCTATTCTCTTTTGTCTACCCTACACTGTTTCTATGCCTTGGTATCTGTGTCCAGGTTTCAACTGCTGCTTCATAGAATGATGGATGGAGGAGAAATAAAAGTCTATAACACTTACAAAAGAGAGGATGAGTTAATGCATCTTTTCCCTGAAGTTGGCAGCTCTGGTAGGATTTTAGGAAAATAAAAAAACTGTTCTGATGAAGCTACTATTGGTAAAATACCCAGGGTTGGGACCAGAGTAGGTCCCTGTGTTTTAAATGTAAATTTTGTTAATTATTGATTTTCCCTAATTTTTATTGTATATTCCTTGGAAGCCCTGAGAAAAATAGAATAAAATGGTCCAAGAAAAGGGAGGTTAGGTAAGAAGTAATGCTAATCATTGTTGGAGGATTTTTTTCAGAAAGCACACTTTCTTGCTCTTCTATGAAGGAGATAATGGTGAAAAAAAAAAAAAAAGGTCCAGATCTCCTGTCCATTCTGACCTCCCTTACCTGAGATCATTTCTGCACCAAGTCCCATAGGTACCTGCATAGACAAATTTATTAGAAAATTGTGTTACAGAATTAGAGTCAGGAACTCAAGAAGGGGCATATTCCCTCTTGATTGGAAGTTGAGAGACCTACCTATGGATTTCTGATAAGCGTTGAATGACTTCCTTGGTGTATAACTATGACCTAACTAGGGAGAAGATAACACAACTTCAAGGCCAGGGTTTAGGGCTGTGATAAATTACTTATGGTATGTTTCTTTCCTTTAGACTAATGTAAATTAGTTTAAATTAACAGGAATGGCAAAGTCATGTTTAAGAGGTATGAATAAAGGGGGATAGGGCTGCAGGAAAGTTTGAGGGATGATATATAAAAGCTTTGGATGTATTTCCCCCAGTTTCTCTTCCATTTTTCTTCATTTGGTTTAAGTCCTTGTCCAGTCGTAGGGTTGGGTTCCTCCAGCCCTGCTCAACTCTGGTCATGAAGTAGGATATTGAATTTTAGAGCCAGAGTTAGATGTCCCTACAAAGAGGGTACATAGGAGAGTGGGTGATTCTGTACCATTACCTGAGATAGGAACCATGATTATTCTTTCTCTAGTAGGGGATTAGAAAGAGGCTTCTTAAGACTGTAAAGCAAGTTTGGCAGATGCTAGATAAGAGAATTGTGTGACGGCCTTTTGTAGGTTGTTTGTTTAGCGCACTGGGTCTGGATTATCCAGGCTCTTGAATCCTAACACCAGTTCTTAGGGATTTCCAAGTCACTCTCATTTATCCCCCCCCAAAAGTCATTTTTACCTTTTAAATACTTTATCCCAGGAATTAGGAGTCCAAAGTTAATATAATATTTAGTGAAATTTCTTTAGTTTTATGCCATAATTTCTCAATTATGGTTCTTTCTAGTTTGGCAGCGTGGATATTCATATGCATTCCTCATTCCTGGGTCCTAGAGATGGACAGACCTCCAATCTTTTGACAGCAATCAGCTTAAGTTCCAAAATGAGCCTACTAAGGAAAAGATAGTATGTTTATTTTCTCCAAACTGCTAATTCTATCAGCAATTTGATCAGCATTTAACTTTTCTCTAAAACAAAATTGTTGCTGGCCCCACTATTCTGAGTTGTTAAGGGCCACTGAGTGAATCTCAGTGGACTCACCTTTCCTATTACAATGCAAATCTACTAAGGGATTGAAAACTTATGTTGTGAGTCTAAACTGTCTACATTAAAAAACTAGGTTTTTTTTGTTTGTTTTTTTAGGTCTTGTGACAAACTTATAATGCTGGGCATTTTAGGGATTATGAAAGTGAGAGAGTAAGTGGGCCAGTAAGAATTAATATCAATACTGATACTAATTAAATTTTGTAGTGCTTAGATTATCCTTCCTTCTCTTATGTAACATAATCCCCAAGAGTAAAGGTGAGACTTGACTTACATCTTTTCATGAATGTGCAGAATGGAACTCCTTATGTGATTTTTTATATATTGCATTTTGGATTTAGAAACTAAAGTCTAAAATGTAAGGCTATTTGTTTGGCTCTTGATCAATGAGACAGAACATAGACTTTTTAAAAAAAGATTTTATTTATTTATTTTACAGAAAGTGAGCATAAGCGGGAGGAGCAGAGGGAGAAGGAGAGAGAATCTCCAGCAGACTCCATGATGAGCATGGAGCCTCATGTGGGGCTCGATCTCACAATCCTGAGATCACAACCTGAGCCAAAACCAAGAATCAGATGCTTAACTGACTGCCCCACCCAGGCACCCACAGAAGATAGACTGTCTAAGCAGGTTCCATTATTTTGCAGTGGGAGGGGAGGAATAAAAACATAAAATGGTCTTCCTATAAATATCAGTGCAAAAATCACTAGCAAATTATTATCAAACAGAATTTATGCACTGAAAAATACAGCACAACCAAGTGGGATTTATTCCAGGAATTCAACCATAGTTCAATATTAGGAGTTCCATCAGTCTTAAAGCCTGCATCTTAATGGGAAAACATTAGAGGCATTTTACTAAGTTCAAGGACAAGGCAGGGATGCTGGATGCTTAGGACCCCCACTACTATTTAAATTGTACTAGAAGTATTAGCTAATGTATTCAGATAAGGGAAAATAGAAGAATAATAGTTGCAAATGAAGAAATGAAACTATTTCTATTTGTTGATGATATGGTGGTACATTTGGACAACCCTATTCTATAGGACCAACTTAAACAACATATTAATTAATAGTCTTGATTTCACAAATATACGATAATTGGTTAGTGGAAAAAGAAACCTCCATTGACAACAGAAATAAAAAGAGAAATACTTAGAAATAACAATTTAACTAGTAATGTTTAGCAGCCTTTATGAGAAAATTTCAGACTCAAAGACATAAAAATAGGCTTGAGCAAATTTAAAGACATTCCTTATTATTGGATGGTAACTATCAACAAAATAAACATATTATTCTCCCTAAATTCATTTACAAATTTAATGTGATCCAATAAAAATGCCCATTTTTTTGCTTATTATTTTTTCTTAAAAAAAACTTTATTGTGAGATACAGATTTACAGGAAGTTGCAAAAATGGTACAGAGAGGTTTACTCAATTTCCTCCAACAATTATATTTTACATAATATCAAATTCAGGAAATTGACATTGACACCATTTGTAAGCATATCTCTGTGCCATTTTATCACATGTGTAGATTTGTGTAATTACCACTCCAGTCAGGATAAGGAACTGTTCTATCACCACAAAGATCTCTCTCCTGCTACCCCCTTTATTCCTACTCATCCTACCCCCCCAACCCTTAAACACCGGCAATCACTAATTTGTTTCCCATCTCCATAGTTTTGTTACCTTGAAAATGTTATACAGATGGAGTTATATAGTATATAAGTTTACCTCTATTTCTAGTTCTTTAAGAGTTTTAAATAATAAATAGGAGCTGAATTTTGTTAAATTTTGTTAACCGCCTTTTCTGTATCAGTTAATTTTGATCATGTGATTTTCTTCTTTAGCCTGCTAACATGGTGGATTACACTGATTTTTGAATATTGAGCTATCTTTGTATCCTTGGAATAAAACTCTATCTGGTCAAGGTGTATAATTCTTTTTATATATTGCTGAATTCTATTTGCTAACATTTTGTGAAGAATTTTCACATCAGTATCCATACAGGATATTGGTCTGCAGTTTTCTTTTCCTTTTTGCACTGTCTTTGTCTTATTTTTGTATCAAGGTACTATTACAGGGAAACCAACTGGGCCTGGAGATTTCTTTTTTGGAGCTGTAAAAATTAAATGTTCAATTTCTTTAAAACTTATTGAGTTATTCAAAGTATCTCATATTGGTGAGGTGTGGTAGTTTATGCTTTTCAAAGAATCATTCAGTTCAAATAGGTTGTCAAATTTATGTGTGTACAGCTGTTTGTAATAGTCTCTTATTACACTTTTATACCTGCAGGGTCTGTAGTAGCATCTTCTTTTAAATTCCTGATATTGGCAATTTGTATCTTCTCTCTTTTTTCTTTTTTTTTAAAATCTTATTTTATTTAAATTCAATTAAATAACATATAGTGTATTATTAGTTTCAGAGGTAGAATTCAATGATTCTCTCTTCTTTCTTTGTCAGTCTTGCTAGAGGTTTGTTAATTTTATTCATCTTTCAAAGAATAATTTTTCTATTTCTCTGATTTTTCAACATTGTGTATTTTTCAATTTCATTGGAATATCCTATATTTCTTCTTTTTGCTTAGGGTTTATATTGCTCTTTCTTCCTAGTTTCTTACATTGAGAACTTATATTACTAATTAGAGACTTTTCTTCTCTAACAGAAACATTTAGTCCTATGAATTTCTTTCTTTCCTTTTTTAAGTTTTTATTCATTTATTTGACAGAGAGTGGGAGAGAGAGCAAGAGAAAGCACAAGCAGGGGGAACAGCAGAAAGAGGGAGAAGCAGGCTCCTCACTGAGCAGAGAGCCCAATGTGGGGCCAGATCCCAGGATCCTGGGATCATGATCTGAGCAGAAAGCTGATCCTTAACCAACTGAGCCACTCAGGTGCCCCTATAAATTCTTTTTTAGTACTGTTTTACTTATGACCCACAATTAAAATTTTTTTTATTTAAATTAAACTTATTTTTTAATGCATTAAGAATTTATTTGTTTATTTATCTATTATGTTGTTAGCCCCCATATGTGCTCATCACAACACCTGCCCTCCTTAATACCCACCACTTGGTTATACCATCCCTCCATCCTCTCCCTTCTGTAACTTTCAGCTTGGTTTCCAGAGTCCAGAATCTCTTATGGTTTTTCTCCCTCTCTGATTTCGTTGCATTCAGTTTCTTCTCCCTTCCCCCGTGGTCCTCTGCACCATTCCTTATGTTCCACATGTGAATAAAACCATATGATAATTGTCTTTCTCTACTTGACTTGTTTCACTTAACATAATCCCCTCCAGTTCCATCCATGTTGATGCAAATGGTAGGTATCCTGATGGCTGAATAATATTCCTTTGTATGTATGAAACACATCTTTATCCATTCATCTGTTGAAGGAGATCATGAATCCTTCCACAGTTTGGGTACTATGGATATTGCTGTATGAACATTAGGGTGCATGTGCCCCTTCTTTTCACT